TAATTCCCTTTTAACTTCTTCAGCTATGTTTTGTAGCTTTCAGTGTCCAAGTTCTGTATTTTCTGGGCTATATTTATTCCTAAATATTTTATCATTTGTGATGCTATCATAAATGGAATTATTTTAATTTCACTTTTGTTCATTCTAGTATACAGAAATACAATTTTTTGTGTGTATTGATCTTGTGGCCTGCATCTCTTTTATAAACTCTTAAGTTTTTTGTTTTTGTGGATTCTTTAAAATTATATGTATCTTATTAATATACATATTATATATAACATATATATAATATCATGTCATCTGTGAATAGAGATCATTTTATTTCTTCCTTTCTAATCTGGATGCTTTTTATTTCTTTTCCTTGCCTAATTGTCCTGGCTAGAACTTCCAGTCCAATACTGGATAGAAGAGTCATGAGCCTTGTCTTGTTCTTGGTCTTAAGGGAAAAGCTTCTAATCTTTCACCATTAAGTATGATGTTAGCAGTGGGTATTTCATAGATGCCCTTTATCAGGTTGAGAAGTTACCCTTTATTACTAGTTTGTTGAGTGCTTTTATCATGAAAGGTCATTGGATTTTGTCAAAAGCCTTTTCTGCATCAATTGAGATGATCATGTATATTTTCCTTTCATTCTATTAATGTGGTGCATTACAGTGATTGATTTCTTATGTTAAGCCACCTTTGTGTTCCTGGGACAAATCTCACTTGGTCACGGTCTATGATCCTTATACTATGCTGTTGAATTTGGTTTGCTAGTATTGTTGTAGGTTTTTTTTTGTCTCTAATATTCATAAGGGATATTGGTTTGTAATTTTCTCTCAATGTGTTTATCTGGCTTTGGTATCAGGGTAATGCTAGCCTCTTAGAATCAGGAAGTGTTCCCTTCTATTTTTTTGGAAAAGCTTGAGAACTATTGGTGTTAAATTTTCTTTAAATGTTTGGTAGAATTCACCAATGAAGCCATCTGATCTTTTCTTTGTTGGGAGGTTTTTGATTACTGACTGACTCAATCTCTCTACTTGTCTTGGAGTTATTTAGATTTTCTATTTCATTTTCAGTCAGTTTAGGTCATTTCTGTTTTTCCATGAATGTTTCCATCTCATCTAGGTATCCAATTTGTTGACATACAATTGTTCATAGTACTCTTATAAATAAATATATATATTTTATTTTTGTAAAGTTAATAGTAATATCCCATGTCCATTTCTGATTTTAGTTGTCTTTTCTTTTTTTCTTTGTCAGTCTATTTAAAGGTTTGTTGATCTTTTCAAAGAACCAACTTTTGGCTTTGTTATTCTTGCTAAATCATATAATTTTTTCCGTGCCTGTCTTTCACATATTTTTAGATTAAATTCTACATCTATTATTATATACAAATGAAGAGTGAGTTGTTTTCCATTATTACTTCTAATTAGTTATTACAGATATATAGGAACATTACTGATTTTTCTTTGTGATTTTATATCCATTGGGCTACATTACTGATAATAATTATTAGTTTTAGTAGTTTGCCAGTTGTTTCTTCCATATTTTCTAAGTAAGTAATTACATGTGGGAATGGTGAGTTTTGTCTCTTTCCTATGTTTATACTTTATTTTTCTTTGTCACATTGGCTTAGCCTGACTTTACAAAATGAAGTAAAATAGAAGCATTAAAGCACGAATGCTTCTAATATTTAATTTTATATGTTTGCTAAATACTTCTCACAGATTTTATTTATTAGATTGAGTAGTATCACTTCTATTTCTGTTTTACAGAAGTTTATTCAGAAATGGATGTTAAATTGTATCAAACATGTTTTATGGCTTCTAATGAGATTATTTTTCCTTTAATCCATTTATGAAGTGAATCAATTTAAAATGTTTCATATGTTCAAACCTTCTCACATTGGAGAAAGTCTAGTCTCCTGAAATACCAGAGTTAGTATATTCATGCATTTGCCTTACTAGTATTTTAGCTAGGATTTTTCACAAGTCAGACTAGACAAGAGATTTAGGGGTGGGTGAATTGACGATATAGGTGTGTATGCATACACAATTTTTTTGCATTTTTAAAAATTTTAATTTTAATGATTTAAAGCTATAGAATATGGACTGTATTGAGCCTTTTTGGAATTCATTAAGACTTTATTACAAAATAAGCAGTCACTTAGTATGGATGTTCCATGTGGACTGAAAGGAATGTACATTCTCTGTTTTATGCAGATACATTCACTATGCCCCAGGCTTTCTGGTTCTCCTGAGTCATGGAGTCCTTTCCTTTGAATGCCCTTGCGAGAATACCTCCTTGCCTGGGATGCTCTTTTTCTCTCCCTTACCCTCCTCTACACTCCTCCTTTTTTGGTTCACTCCTACTCATCTTTCAGTCTGACTCCCTTGGACTAGGTTCTATACCCCTGATCCACAGTCATATTGTGTGTTTTATGTCTGTTTCTACTACTTGTCTATCTTAAACTTAGGGGCAAGTAAGGATTAACTGGGAGATTTTTTTTTTTAATGGAAATTTCAGGATTGCACCATAGTTTCTGATTCAGTAGCTGTGAGGTACAATTGAGAAAGCTACATTGTAGAAATATTCCTAGGTAATTCTGCTTCAGGTTATGCATGGTCATACTGTTCAGAAATAGTTTTTTTTTTTTTTAAGATTTTATTTATTTTTTGACAGAGAGACACAGCGAGAGACGGAACACAGCAGGGGGAGTGGGAGAGGGAGAAGCAGGCTTCCCGCGGAGCAGGGAGCCCGATGCAGGGCTCGATCCCAGGACTCTGGGATCATGACCTGAGCTGAAGGCAGCTGCTTAACGACTGAGCCACCCAAGCGCCCCCAGAAATAGTATTTAATTTGTACAACTTTTTGTTTAATTCCTATTCTCCCCCGTTACAGTAAAGATCCATGAAGGTATCATGCTTATCTTGTTTGTTGCTGTATCCTCAGAGAAAGTCGATTTGTACAATGCCTGATAACACTGGAAATGCTGAAATTAACATATGTTGAATGCATAAAAAAGTGCATTAAAAACTTATTGACTTAGCTATAAATGAGGTACATTTGCTATTCAACTCCTAAGAGAATCCTGAAAACATAAACAAACAAACTAAGGATTTCCATGTAAATATAGTAAAATCATATTTCAGTAGTGGACACAACAGGGCTTATCTTTGGAAAAGACTGGAATTGAAGAAGAATGCAGTATTATAGCTCGTCATTGCCTGGAGCAGAGCTTCTTACCCCAAAATGCAAGATTCAACAAGAAGTCAACCTCCTCATGTGTTGAGTATATAATAATATATGTACAAATGTGCATTATCAGATTGTTCAATAGTCTGAAAGCACTCCTTGTGTCTGGTACTGTTCTGGGTACGAAAGATGCAGTAAAGCGTAAAATAGATTTCAAAACAACAACAACCCTGACTTAATGTAGTTTACCTTTTTATGAAACACAGTAAATAAATGAGTAAAACGTTAAAATTGTAGTAAGTGCACTGAAGAACAAGAAAGGAGAGAAGGGGGACAGGGAGTGGGTACCACTGGGGGTGGGGCTTCCAAGTCTAAATAGCATGGTCAAGGTAGCCCTCACAACGATGGTGACGTTTAAGCAAAGACCCAAAGACAGTGACAGAGTGCACCATGAACTATCTGGCAGAAGAGCATTCCAGACAGAGCAATTTCTTTGGCTTCAAAGGCCCTGAGATGGAAATTTGTCTGGCATATTTGAAGAACTACATGGAGGCCAGTGTGGCTGGAGCAGATTAACCCAGGGGGAAATCAGGTCAGATGGAATGCCAAGGCCAAATCATGAAGGACCTGACAGACCACTGTGAGAATTTGGCTTTAGCTCTGAATTACATGGAATGACAAGGAAGAGTTGTTATTGTTGTTTTAAAGATTTTATTTATTTGACAGAGAGAGTACATCAGGAGGAGCGGCAGGCAAAGGGAGAGGGAGAGGCAGGCTCCCCGCCAAGCAGGGAGCCTGATGCGGGGCTCGATCCCAGCACCCCAGGATCAAGACCTGAGCTGAAGGCAGCCGCTTAACCAACTGAGCCACCCAGGCATCCCAACAAGGGAGAGTTTTGAACAAAAGAAACAAGCATTTTATGTCTTTCTATATGTGTGTGTGTGTACATATACAATGCATGCACATATGGAATGGGTGTGAATGTTTGTGCACATCTATAGGTAGGCAGGTGTGTTCTGGAGAGAGATTCCACAGGCATCTGTGAGGTTTCCTCAAGAAGCTACCCCATCATGTACTCTTCCTCTCAACCTCATGGCTTCTGTCTGTTCTTTCTATCTTGTTCACTCCATACTCCAGAGAGGCAGAGTGCTGCTGGGTTTGGTTGTTTTCTAAGCAGACCATTGGTAGGAGTTTAAATGTGTTGTGTTGGATCAAATTGTCTTCTTTCTATAGGACACCTTTCGTTTCACTGGGCTGGCCATGTGAGATGGGTCTGGGGGCTCCTTTCATCTGAGAAAAGATGCTGTCACCCCACTAATCCCCTTTGAAATCCAAAGAGGAACCTAGGAGACGTCAGCAGAAAGAAGTCCATTTAGAGTTCTTGGCTCCAAAACCACATCCAGAAGTAGCAGTAAGAGGAAAGGGGCTAATGGGGCACCTGGGTGGCTCAGTCGGTTAGGTGTCTGACTTCAGCTCAGGTCATGATCTCAGGGTCCTGGGACTGAGCACCGCATCAAGCTCCCTGCTCAGTGGGGAGTCTGCTTCTCCCTTACCCTCTCTCCTTGCTCCTCCCCATTTATGCTCTGTGTCTTTCTTAAATAAATAAAATCTTTAAAAAAAAAAAATGAAAGGGGGGCCTAAAGGAGGAGGAGGAGGAACAAGGTAGTAGGAATAGTAATAAACACTGACATAGCAGGGCAGATGGAACATTATTTTGAATGAACCTTCTCATTTAGTCCCTACAGCTAGGTCCATCTGTAATTTCACTGAATGATTTCTTGAATTCAAATAAGAACTGGTTTGTATGTTCAAAAATTATTTACCTTTGACTTAGGAAATAGATTTCTTGGTATAGGTTTGCTGGGATCCACATGGTAAAAATTGTCTGTGAGTGGAATAGCAATTCCCATATTAGATGGAGGCCTGTAGTTTATCTGTAAGTGATTAAGCAAAGAAAACATGTAATTCATAATTATTTATGAAGTCTTTAACTTAAAAATCTTGGTTTTCCAGAAAAGCATTCAAAGCAAATATTTCATTTTTAGTTCCAGGCATTCGAGTAAATTTCTATTCTCCCTGCACTCCCTACACCTTATTTTTCTGGGATTTCAACAACCTTAGCCCACAGCAATATAATTGTTTGGAACTTGTAAATAAGTGAAAAAATTTTTTAGTATGTAAAATAGCTACCATAAAGTAAATGCGAGAAAGTTTCAACACCTTATAAAAAGTCTTACTGGTATATTTAGTAAATAAATCTTCAAGTTCAGTCAGTTGCTTTTTTTGACACAGAGAAAATCATCAGTAATAAGTTCATCAGCAAAGAATAATAATACACATTTTTTAAAGTGTCACAGATTCTGACAAGGCAGAAATTAAAACTGTAACTACATCGAAATGGAACCAGTAAGATGGAACTAGGACAGGTCAACAGAATGGCTAATAACTGTATATAGCACAAAATCCCCAAGATTATGCCACCATAATATAGCATAAAATAATTTTTATGATGGTGAGACTGAGTTACCAGGAAAAGTCATTATTTCAGGAAGTGTTAGCATTTTAGAAATTAATAATTGTCACATCCTCAAGATGACAGGAAGATTGAACCATAACTGGAGTGTTTTGTGCATCTCAGGAAAGAAATGCTACAATGGGATGGCCAGCCAACCACACAAAAGTAATATATCACAGGTAACCTTAAAACAATCTGCTTAGGTTTCTTACCGGTAAAGTTTTGATCATATTAAAACCCTGACTGTCTTTGTGAACACCGCTAATCCAGTCTTCTAGTGGGATGAGTTTACTAGGAATGTGATGCATAGATTTGAGATAACTACAGCTGTTTTTCAATGTTGGCACGACTGTCGTGACAAAACACTCAGTAGATGCTCCCCAGACAACTAATGCCAATGAGGTTGAACCCTGAGAACATCCAAAGAAATGAAGGTTATTGAAAGTAACTGTTAAATTACTATTTCAATTTCCTTGCTGGTTATGGGTGTAGTGATCCAAAGGTGCACCAGCACCCCAATGTCTATAGCAGCCATGTCCACAATAGCCAAACTATGGAAAGAATCTAGATATCCATCAACAGATGAATGGATAAAGAAGATGTGGTATATCTATACAATGGAATATTACTCAGCCATCAGAAAGGATGAAATCTTACCATTTACATCAACGTGGATGGAACTGGAGGGTATTATGCTGAGTGAAATAAGTCAATCAGAGAAAGACAATTACCACATAGTTTCACTTAAATGAGAACTATAAGAAACAACACAGAGGAAGGGGAGTAAGCCTCACATCAGGCTCTGCACTCAGTGGGGAGTCTGCTTGTCCCTCTCCATCTCCCTCTGGCCATCCCCTCACTCATGCTCTCTCTGTGTCTCTCTCAAAACAAATAAATAAATTTTTTTTAATGTAGAAATACTAATAACTGTGATGATGTTGTAGACTCTGGTACCTCTATTCCGATACTCTGTAGCCATTAAAAATGGTATATTTTAAAAAATTTTTACCAAAACACATTGAACCAGAATCTATGCAGGATTCTACTATTAAAGGAAATGTGGCTAGGGGTGGGAGAGGCACAAATTAAGTAAGAGACAAGGAAACAAACATAAGAATCCAAAATGTTAGACAATCTATAACACAGCTGATCTGATTTCTACAATTCAATGGCAAATGAAGAAAATGGACTAGTATCTAGGACACTTAAGAGAAAATAATCACATACCATGTGAATCTTGTTTGGCTCCCAATTCAAACAAAACAACTATAAAAATATCTTTGAGAAAATTGGGGAATTTGATTATGGACTAGGTTTTGTAGGATACCAAAAAAAAAAAAAAAAGAAGAAGTTTTAGGAACAACAATGGCATGATAATGGTTATATGAGAGATAATGCACATATTTTTTAGAGATGTATATTGAGTCATATAAAGAGTGAAATGACATGATGCTTGCTTTCATTCTAAAATATCTCAGACTATAAAACAAAAACCAAAATGTTGGGGGGAGGATGATAAAACACAAGCAGCAAAATCTTGACTACCGTTTGAGTACTAGGTATATGGAAACTCTACTTTGGTCTATATCTGGAAGTCTTCATGATAAAGACAATTTTGGGATATGCAGAAAAAATATTTAGTGATTCAAAAGGATTAAATCATATAGTTAAGTGGAAGGAGAAAAAATGTTTAAAGTGTATGTACAACGCTCTCCCAGTTTTAGGGAAAAAAGAAAAAAGTACTGTCAGTTCATAGTGATTGAGCCTTTTCCATGTGCCAGACATTTATTTTTTTTAAAGATTTTATTTATTTATTTGATAGAGAGAGACACAGAGAGAGAGGGAACACAAGCAGGGGGAGTGGGAGAGGGAGAAGCAGGCTTCCCACGGAGCAGGGAGCCCGATGTGGGGCTCAATCCCAGGACCCTGGGATCATGACCTGAGCCGAAGGCAGACAGTTAATGACTGAGCCACCCAGGCGCCCCTCCACGTGCCAGACATTTAGACGCCCTACTTGAATGATCACGTTGAATTCTCAGAAACTACCCTGTGAGGCAGGTATTGTCATTATCATCTCCAATTCATAGATGAGGAAACTTAACCATAGTAAAGTGACCTTCCCAAGTTCACAGACGGCACCAAAAGTGAGATCTATACCAGGCAGTCTTATCCAAAGCTCATTCATTCTATAATGCTAAGGTTTTATTTATTTATTTGTCAGAGAGAGAAAGAGAGCACAAGCAAGGGGAGCTGCAGGCAGAGGGAGAAGCAGACTCCCTGCTGAGCAGGGAGCCCGATGCAGGACTCGATCCCAGGACCCTCAATCCCAGGACCCCAGGATCATGACCTGAGCCAAAGGCAGATGCTTAACTGACTGAGCCACCCAGGTATCCCTCGTAATGTTTTACTGCCTTTTTGTAATTGCCCAAATGTTAAAAGTGCTTAGTCATTCTTGAGAGGTAGGATTATGTGTGATTTTCCCTTCTTTCTCTTGGCTTATATTGTAAGTTTTCCATAATTAACAGACTTTTTTGTAATTAAAGAAAATCTTACTTGACGTAAAGCTTTGCTAGCTGCAGAAATTTTCATTACGTAACTATCAGTATCATCAAAAGAGCCTTCAGCTTTAACTTCCAACAAATTTGCATTTCCAACAATGACTTTCAGTAGTGGTATTTCTAGTGTTCGAACACCTATGGAAACAAGGCTAAAGGTTAAAATTAAATCATAGTGTGTCAATTATACTAAAAACATCTGGAAACTAAAAAAGAAAAATAATTAAATCATGAAAATTTTAAACAACTTCATAATGTCTAGCTAATCAGGATTCTAGAACAGCTACAGACTCTATTATGAATGCTTCATAATGGCTACAAATATAGTTAGGAATTTATATGGAGTTAACTTTGATGGCTCTTGGAAAAATTTAACTTCACAAATATTTTCTCACAGAAATATTGCTCCCTTCCATTTCTCATTCTTCAGCCAAGGTCTCAAATGCATGAAAAGGTCACTTGGACTGTACTGGTCACACTGAGCTGGATGGCTTAGTGAAGAAACTGAAGGATGCATGCTCAACTTCAAGAGCCATCAGCCCATGGTTGCCAAGACAAAATGAGGCAGGTAACATGACCTGTCATCAGGCCTATTTCTGCCTGCAGGCCACCTGCTTGCAATCGCTCCATACTGAGAAATTTACTAGAAAAAGAGATTTGACAGACTATGTAGTCTATCTGCCATCCTTACTAATCAGTAAATCAGGGCTGAGAAGTAGGAAATGATTTGCCTGAAGTCTCATCTACAACCCTTTCCCTTAAACCAAAGTGAGCTGGTTAGTGCTTCCTAAACAGTCACTGGGTATTTGTTAGAATGCAGATTCTGATTTACCAGGGTCTGCAGAGGGGACTGAGTTTGTACATCCTCTACATTAGCTGTATTCAGGTATAACTGACGAAGAAAATTGTATATATTTAAAGTGTATAACGTGATGATTTCATATATATAGGTATCATACATATATTCATTTATATATATATATACACACACACACTGTGAAATGAATACCACAATTAAATTAACACATCCACCACCTCATAGTTACTTTGTATGTGTAGTGAGAACATATAAGATCTACTCTCTTAGCAGTATTATTATTATGATGATTTTGTTTTGAGAGCGGGCAGAGAGGAGAGAGGGGGAAAGGGGGAGAGAGAGAATCTTAAGCAAGCCCCACGTCCAGCACAGAGCCTAAAGCGGGTCTCAATCTCATGACCCTCTATCTCAGGACCCTGAGATCAGGACCTGAGCCAAAATCAGAAGTCGGATGCTTAACTGCCTGAGCCACCCAGGCACCTCCAATACAGTATTATTAACTATAGGTCCCATGGCATATGTTACATCCCCAGAACTTACTCATTTTACAATGAGAAGTTGTATCCACTCACCAACATCTGTACATTTTTTTCTACTCCCTAACCCCTGGCAACCAGCATTTATTCTACTCTCTATTTCTGTGAGTTAGACTTTTAAAAATTAGATTCCACGTCTGAGTGAGATAATATAGTACTTATCTATCTCTATGTGGCTTATTTCATTTAGCATATCCTCCAGGTTCATCCATGTTACTGCAAATGGCAGAATTTCCTTCTTTTTATGGCTTAATAACTAGCCATCTCTCTCTTCTCTCTCACAAACACACACACACACACACACACACACACCCCATGTTTTCTTTATCCATTCTTCCATCAACCGACACTTAGGTTGTTTCTGTATCTTGGCTATTATAACCTGCAATGAACATGGGAGTGCAGATACCTCTTTGAGAAACTGATTTTGTTTCCTTCAGATATATACCCAGAAGTGGGATTTCTGGATCATATGGTAGTTCTATTTTTAATTTTTTGAGGAACTTCCATACTGTTTTCCATAGTGGCTGCCCCAGTTTACATTTCCTCCAATGGTGCATGAGGGTTCCCTTTTTGTCTACATCCTCACCAATGCTTGTCATCTCTTGTCTTTTTGATACTAGTCATTCTAACAGGTTTGAGGTGATATCTCACTGTGGTTTTGATTTGCATTTTCCTCATGATTTGTGATGTTGAACACTTTCTCCTGTATTTGTTGGCCATGCATATGTCTTCTTTGAAAAATGTCTATTCAGGTTCTTTGCCCGTTTTTTAATTGCATTATTTGTGGGGTTTTGTTTGTTTTTTGCTATTGAGATGCATGAGTTCCTTATACACTTTAGATATTAACCTCTTATTGGATATATGGTTTGCCCATATTTTCTCCCACTCCATAAGCTGTCTTTTCATTTTGCTGGTTCCCTTTGCTGTGCAGAAGCTTTTTAGTTTGATGTAGTCCTACTTATTTACTTCTGTTTTTGTTGCCTTTGATTTTTGTGTCATATCTAGAAAAGTCAGTGCCAAGACCAAAATCAAGGATCTTTTCCCCTATGTTTTCTTCTAGGAGTTTTATGGTTTTAGGTCTTACATTTAAGCCTTTAATCCATTTCATTAATTTTTGTGAGGGGTGTAAGATAAGGGTTCAGTTTCATTCTTTTGGATGTGATTATCCAGTTTTCCCTACATCATTATTGAAGAGACTATCTTTTTTTCCCCACTGTGTGTTCTTGGCTCCTTGTCAAATATTAATTAACCATATATGTGTGGGTTTATTTCTGGGCTGTCTATTTTACTCCATTGGGCTATGGTTTTTATGCCAGTACCATAATGTTTTGATTAATATAGTGTTGTAATATAGTTTGAAATCAGGGAGTATGATGCCTCCAGTTTTGTTCTTCCTGAAGACTGCTTTAGCTATTCAGGGTTTTTAATGTGATATATGATATTAACATAATGAAGGGTAAAAATCATGGATCATCTACATCACAATAGATGTAGAAAAAGCATTCGACAACATTCAACATCCATTCATGATAAAAACTCTCCACAAATTAGGTATAGAAGGAATGTATCTCAACACAATAAAGGTCATATATGACAAGACCGTAGCTAACTTCATACTCCTATGTCATCATACTCAACATACTCAAAGCTTAAAACTTTGCCTCTAAGATCAGGAACAAGACAAGGATGCCTACTCTTGCTAATTCTGTTCAACATGGTACTGGAAGTCCTACCCAGAACAATTAGGCAAGAAAAAGAAATACAATGCATCCAAATCAGAAAGGAAGAAGTAAAATTGCTTCTGTTTGCAGATAACAGGATATTATATAGAGATAAGTAAAGTTGCAGGATTCAGAATCAAAATACAAAAATCAGTTGTGTTTCTATAAACTAACAATGAACTATCCAAAAGAGAAATTAAGAAAACAATCTCATTTACAATAGCATCAAAAAGAATAAAATACATAGGAGTAAATTTAACCAAAGAGGTGAAAGACCTGTACACTGAAAACTATGAGTTTCAGTGAAAGAAATTGAAGAAGACACAAATAAATGGAAAGATATCCTGTGTTCATATATTGCAAGAATACTGTTAAAATGTTCATACCTACAGACTCAGTGCAATCCATATCAATATTCCAATAGGGTTTTTCAAAGAAATAGAAAAAACAGCCCTAAAATTTGTGTGGAACCACAAAAGATTCTACACTTCTAACAAGCAGCTAGGTGCTGCTGATGTGGTTGGCCTAGGCACCCACACTTTGAGTAGCATGCACTAGGCTTTTCTTCACAAAGAGGCAATTGAGTTGATTTGATTATTACTATTTGTTTCCATCAAACTGAATGAGTAAAACTGTACCATTCAACAATGAATTTGGTATATTTTAAAGCTGAAATATTTAGAACACTGTGGGACTTATAACAGAATATGAAGAGATAACAAAGGAACAGAGTTTTAACAATCCAGAATGGTGAAGATGATAGGTAAATTGTTTACTGTATTCTGAAACCAGTTAAGAAAGATCACACTATTCAAGAAGTGATATTGGAACAACCAGCTAACCACCTACAATATACCAAAGCAAAATCTACATAAATTAAAGACTTAGATGGAAAGTTAAAACTATAAGATTAAAACTCCAAAATTACTTGAAGAAAATATGGACAATTAGTCATATAATCAATGAGAAAGGATTCTAAGAGTTTCAAGAGGAAGTTTTGTTTTTTTTTTAACAGTATTTAAGTCCACAATCTTGATTGAAACAGAGAGTTGTCCTCCAATTTTTTTTTTTTTTGGTAATTTTCACTTGTATAAATTGTATTTGATTCTGTTTTTCAAATGAGCCTTTTTAAAAAAATTGTGTTTTGCCCTTTCATTATGATTCAAAGATCTTCTTTTGTCTCTTTGAGAGTTTTACATATAGTTGGTTTATAGTGTCTTTCTGATTTTTCTATTGTCTCAAGTCCTTGGAGATTAAAGATCAAGTTCTTGGGGTGCCTCGATGGCTCAGTCAAGCAGCTGACTCTTGATCTCAGGTCTTGATTTCAGGGTCATGAGTTCAAGCCCTGCATTGGGCTCCATGCTGGGTGTGGAGCCTACTTTATAAGTAAGTGAGTAAGTAAATAAAATGAAAATAAAAATCAAGTTCTCTTTCTTATGTTAGGTCATTTCGTTATGTAGTTTTAAAATGTTTTCCTCAATTGACGTTCCATGGAGATTGATTTTTCCATGGAAGTCTATATTCCCTGGATTATGGAAATATTCCTATCAAGGGTTTTATGCTTGTCTATGCTGGAGCCCATGTGTTATAATTATTTCTCAGCTTGGGATTCCTACAACTAGTGTGTTGTCTCTAGGGGTTACACAGTCTTGGACTTTGGGGTTTTCACAGGAGATCCTTTTTTTCCACTTTGAGTCTCATGGAGTTGGTAATCCCCTGAACTCCCTCTTTGGATTGGTAGAGTTTTCATAATCCCCCTTTCATGATTTAAGCTCCCAGCTTTACTTAATGGTTTTGGTTCCAGCCTTCTACCACAAAGTATATTCTGCCAATGCCTGGGCGTTAAAATCCGTCCCTTTGCCTATATGGCCCATACTTGAGCCTCTCATCTTTCAGGGTGCCACAAAGTAGCTAATTTCTTTGGCTTTGAGTTCCCTCTTCATTTCTGGTGACGGGATTTTCTTCTCTTTCCCTCCCTTCCCTCCATCTTTCCCTTCTCTCTTTCTAGCTCAGTTATTTACCAAAATTTTTGTTTTACTTTTCCAGTGTGCCATTTCTCCATCATCTTTTGTAAGTTTAATGTTACTTTTGCAATAAATAAATGCCATGGGAAAATAGCATACTATTTAAAAGCTATTTTTTGGCTTAAAATAAATACTTGAAATAACTACAACAATATCAAAAGAATGAAAGAGTTTTCTTTTCAGAGGACAGTAAAAATCTAAACGAAAATCCTGTGTAAACTTGGACTGCTAACTTAACCTCATTTTTTCTCATTTGTAAATGAAGATTAAAATCTAGCCTTTTAGAGTTGCTCTAAGTATTGAATTAAAAATACATAAAAATAATTTAGTACAGAGCCTCGCACATAGTAAGTGTTCAATAATTAGAAGCCAATACTGTTATTAACAGAATGCCAGCTACTATGTAAGCCAAAGATAATGGAAATATCAAAAAGTATATTTTACAGTCAAGAAAAACAACATCTCCTTTGATGTTTCCCAGTAAAAATAAACTTACCTTTTGTATTAGGTATGACCTTAACTTCTAAAGTACGAGATTTCCCCAGATCAATGTATTTCAGGATATTGAGGGATAGGGAATGATCATGTTGAAACCAATAATTACATGGTTTTGCATATATAGACCACATTCGTCCATTCCTGTGCCCCAAGTTGTATAAGAACCAGGAGTCTTTTGGGAAGGTCATATTGTTGAGCACTCTTTCAGGCATGGTAGCAACAGCTAAAGCATTCTTAGCATCTAAAACGCTTATGATCAGGAAGCTGCTGTAACCAGGAATCACCACAGTCTTCTCTATATCCAGATCTTGAAATGAGGCATTAGTACCCGGAGCTAAAACAGGAATAACTTATTATAAAATAAAATAGCCAATGTTCTTCAAGCATACTGGTGGACATAATTGATGAAAACATTATTTGAGTTTTTAAACTATGGTCTTAACCAGAGAACACAGTGGCCAGATATGAGGTTAGAATTCAAATTATTTTATAGAAAGTATATCACAAATACGTCAAGCACAAACCTATACTTAAACCTTTACTATGAAACTAGTTCTATAAAATCCTCAGCAGAAAAAAAAAAAAACAACCACCACCCATGTAGGGCTAAGTAATTATAAGAAAGCTGACTTCTCTACTTTAGAACTGCCAAGAGCCTTAATAACTTAGAATCTTTATTGTGATTCTACAAGAGAAGGATAATATAACTAGTGTTTCCCCAGGATATTTATTGTGTAGATGAATAATTGATTGTTTAGGAAGAGCATGAAGACTTAAAAGAAACTAGACTTTAGGGCAGGACCGTGAGAAACATTCCCACGTAAGAGGATGTGAGAAGAGCCGCAAGAGGGCTGTTTCAAGGAAGGGGAGGTCGCCATAGTCAAATGTCTTTGATAGGTCAGGAAATATACCACCACACCAATGTTCTCCTCATTCTGAAAAAATCAATAGAAGTAGTCAGAAGAGACCATCATAGTTCCCTTTATTGTATATGCATGCTCTAATTCCTCCCACTCCATTATTTTTCTTATTTATTGGAGAGAGAGAGAAAGAGAGAGTGAGGGGAGAGACAGAGTAGGAGGAAGAGAGAGAATCCCAAGCAGACTCTTCACTGAGCGTGGAGCTGGACACAGGGCTCAATCCCAGGACCCTGAGTCCATGACCTGAGCAGGAACCAAGAGTTGGATGCTTAACCGACTGAGCCATCCAGCCGCCCCATTATTTCTCCCACTTTATACAAACCAACAAAAATCCTTTCCCACATTCCCTCCAACTGCCACATAATCTCTCCTCCCCTTATAGCAAAATCCCTCCCCTCAAAGAGTTGCTTTCATTCACTGTCTTCAATTCCTCTCTGTTTAGAGAAATTCAATTCCTACTGTTTAGAACCTAATCCAATCAGACTTTTTGTCTACACTACTCCACCCAACAAAAGATTTTGTCAAGGTTACCAATGACTTGCCCACAGATCTGCTGGTTGGTTTTCCTTCCTCATCTGACCTCATCTACTGGTTCCCTCCTTCTTGAAAGACTTTCCTCACACTTTCTCTTAATTCTTCTCTGAGCAGACCATCCACTCTCCTGTCCTGTGGGGGAAATTATGGGGCGGCTGGATGGCTCAGTCGGTTAAGCATCCAGCTCTTGTTTTCTGCTCAGGTCACGAATTCAGGGTCCTGGGATTGAGTCCTGTGTCCCCCGTCTTCCTAAACACTAACTGTTGCAATGCCAAGGATTGCAACTTTGGCCTTTTCCTTTCCATATTTATACTCATCTTCCAGGTGATGTCATCTGGTCTCATAGCATCAACTATCATACATATACTGACTGCTCAAATTTCTCTCTCCAGTCCAGGTGCCTTCCCTGAACTCCAGGTTTGTCTTACTAAATATGAACCTCATTTCTCCACTTGGGTGAATAACAGTTATCTTAAATTTAATATAATCTCTCACCTGATTACTGCAATCACAAAATTGATTTCTCTGCTTTCCTTCTTGACTTCTATCACCTGCCCAGCCCATTCTCAACACAGGAACCAAAGTGATCTTGTTAAAACCTAAGGCCAATCATGTTACTTTCTGCTTGAATGCCTCCAATGGCTTCCCATTTACTCACAATAAAAGCCAAATCCTTACAATAAACAATACTAATGTTGGATTTATATCTATTGTATATAATCCTTCAAATAGAAATATCCTACATAATTATTTTTTTAACATTCTATTTTTTTTAAAGATTTTATTTATTTATTTAATTGACAGAGAGAGAGAGACAGCGAGAGAGGGAACACAAGCAGGGGGAGTGGGAGCAGGAGAAGCAGGCTTCCGGCCCAGCAAGGAGCCCGACGCAGGGCTCGATCCCAGGACCCTGGGATCATGACCTGAGCCAAAGGCAGTCGCTTAACCAACTGAGCCACCCAGGCGCCCCCTTACATAATTATTTTAATATGTAGGGCAAAATCTACATGGACTTCGTATTTTTTTTTTTTTTGGACTTCCTATTTTCTTTCACTTCTCCTTAATACTGTTTAAGACAAAATAACATTATAGGAATAAATGACAGGCACTACTATTGATGAAATATTAATGAAGTTATAGCTAGATTTTATTATATTAGAAATTAAAAATGCCTCCAGGAACCTAAGTGTATGTAGATTTCAGCAGCTTGCCAATTGGACTAAATTTTGAAATCTACTGTTCTTCTATAAATGAGCATGAACAATCTTCCCAAAAGATAATTCATTTTTTTCTAGCCATCAGAGATGTACCACATTATTATACTTACTTTGTGGTTGAAGAGTAAGTTCATAGAAGACATTTCCAGTTCGATTAATAGAAAGGGAACTGGACAAACAAGGGCTCGTATTCACTTCTTCTATTCCAAAAGGGTCTATCACTTCCGCAATAACAGAGGACAAAAATCCATCAGGAGTGTTATGTTGTAATACCTTTCTTATGTAAGCTGTTCCAGTTTTCCTAAAAACCAAACCAACAAACATCAAGCCATCTGGATAAAACAGTGGTTTAAATGAATAAGCTTGTGAACACATGATTTACAAATATACCACAAACAGCCAACAAATGAATAATTGGTCAACATTTGTTCAACCTCACTAGCACTCAGTGAAATGCCGGCTATAGCCACTGGATACAATTTCCCGCCCATCAAATTAACAAAGATTTTTAACTGACAGGGTTCAGGAGCAGCAAGGATTGAGTGGAGATAGGCACTCATCCACTACTGATGGACCATAAATTGGTACAAGCTTCCCAGAAAGCAAACTGACATTATGTAGTAAGAGCTCTAGCATTATATTTTTTCCCCTCTGATTCCATAAGTCTACTGACAGGGCTCTATCCTAAGGCAATAACTTGAATCACAGGGGGAAAAAAAAAAAAAAAAAAGCTTTTCATACATGAGATGTTCATCATGGCATTATGATAAAAATTAAAAATAAATGACAACAATAGGAAAATTAAGTAAATGATAATACATTATCTACTTAGAACAAATGCAACTATTAAAATCGTATTTAGAAAGTGTTTTTAATTACATAAGGAAAGTGGTCATATTATAATGTCTAAATGAAAGAAGCAATGTGAAAAATGCTAATTAAAAAATTTTAAATGCATATTTAAGAGGTTAATTGGTAATTCATCAAAATGTTAACAGTTGTGATTTTAATTCACTTCTTCATGTTTATCTGATTTTTTTTTTAAGATTTTTAATTTATTTGACAGAACAAGTAGGCAGAGCGGCAGGCAGAGGGAGAGGGACAAGCAGACTCCGTGTTGAGTGCGGAGCCCGATGTGGGGCTGGATCCCAGGACCCTGAGATCATGACCTGAGCCAAATCAAGAGTTAGTCACTTAACCCACTGAGCCACCCAGATACGCCCATGTTTATCTGACTTTTAAGAAATTTGTACAATGAGTAAGTACAAGGAAAAAAATCTATTTTTAAAATGTTAACTTGGGATATCCACATGCAAAAAAAATAAATAAACCTAAACACAGACCTTACACCCTTCACAAAAATTAGCTCAAAATGGATCACAGACTTAAATATAAAATGCAAAACTATAAAGCTCGTACAAGATTAACACAGGAGAAAACCAACATGACCTTGGTCATGGGAATGACTTTTTAGATACAACACCGAAGGCACGATCCATGAAAGAAAAAAACTTGATAAGCCATACTTTATTGAAATTAAAAACTTCTCCCAAAATGAACTGTAGAGCAGGAAAAAAGCCTTTTTTTTTCTCTACCTCCCTAGATTCTGCACTTGGGGCCCTGGAAGTTAAACTGACAAAAGACAGATTACAAGAGGAAAACAAATAAAGTTTATTAACCTGTGTGTCACGTTCACACACAAGAGACATGTCAGTGACGAGGAACTCAAGGGGATGGTTAGAACCTGGGGTTTACAAAGCATTTTAACAAAGAACAGTAAATTTCTAGAGCAGTGACAAGACAAAGGAAAAGGGGTTGAGGCTTTCAGGAGTGCCAAACTGTGGAAAAGTTAATATACGAGGGACACTAATGAAAGCGAAGTCTTGCTTAGTAAGATTTGTTATGTAGATGCCACTCAGGTCTCTCGGCTGATAGAATCTCTGGAGATTAGGGATCATCTTGCCTTTCCTAGGAGGGAAAGGCTCTTGCTGATACCTTAGAAGCAAGCATTGCTCAGAATACCTCATACCTGGCCATGAAGTATGTCATGCAAGATGGGCAGAGATTTTTTTTTCTTTCTTTTTTATTAAAGATTTCTTTCTTTATTTATTTTAGAGATAGAGCTTGAGCATGAGCAGGGGGAGGGGCAGAGGCAGAGGGTGAGAGAGAATCTCAAGCAGACTTTGTGAAAAGTAAATAAAAATAGAAGGGCAAAAATACAAAATGCTGACAACACGAAATGTCTACAAGGATGTGGAGCAACGGGTGGGAAGACCGAACGGTACAGCCACCTTGCAAGACAGTTTGGCAGTTTCTTATAGAACTAAAAATGCTCTTACCGTGCTCTACAGTTTATTTTGGGTAACAGTCCTTTATCACGTGTGTCTTTTGCAAATAGCCGTGCCTCCACCCCCCAATATGTGGCTTGTCTTCTAATTGCTACAACTATTTGTGGAAGAAACGAGTGAAGGGCTCCCCCGATGTAAACGCCTGACTCTCTAGAACCTCCCTTGGCCTGTTGCTGACTTCGGGATTTTGGGTCCCCAACCATTGACCTGCCCGGTTGACGTCTGGCTTGTCTCCAGTTCTCTGACGCTGGCTCTGTGCTCCCCTTTCCTGACTTGGAGATGCCCATTCCCTAGTTTCTGCCCAAGTAGAGCCAAGTTACGGAGTCTGATCACAGATTGTGCTGTTCCGGTTTGCAAATACAAGTACCTCACCCCACTTGGCTTGGACAAAAGACCTACGTTAGCACTTGTTTTTGCTAACTGAAAGAAATCTGAAGAGAATTTTCCCTTTTACGAGAAAACGCCAAAAGTAAAAACAGCATCCAGCTTTTGTTTTGCAGCGAGCAGATCTGTTATAGGGGCCCCGCCCAGCCTCTTCCCTGCAAACTCCCCTCAGCATCTCAGCATCAAGCCGCCAGAGCACTGACTTGGGTGAGCACCTGTGCCTCATCCCTACTTATTTTGTGCATCTGTTAGCAGGATGTGTCCTAAGGTATCAGAAAAAGCCTAATAGAGGGTATTTTGTGGGGCCTGGGAATACTCCGAAATTTTTCCATATAAGTTAAGGATAATTGCTTCTTTGCTTTACTCCAGTTCGACTTGTGAAAAGTTTCATAGGCATGCTCTACTTTCAGACAGTGAGGGAAACTTGATTTGGATGCTTAAGAGAATGATCATATGCTTTTAAAAATAATCAGGATGTAAAAAATTAATATTAACATTGAGATTATATTAATCATGTTAATCTTTTAAAAAGTGATTCTATATGTTTTTTTAAAAAGACTTTATTTATTTATTTGAGAGAGAGAGAGAGAGCGTGCACAAACAGGCAGAGCAACAGGCAGAGGGAGAAGGAGACTCCCCGCTGAGCAGGGAGCCCCATGCAGGACTTGATCCCAGGACTCTGGGATCATGACCTGAGCCGAAGGCAGATGCTTAACCTACTGAGCCACCCAGGCACCCCAATTCTATGTTTTCTACAAGGACATACCTACAGAAACTAAGTGGCTTGGAATGTCACCCATACAAAAACCACTGAAAATAAAATACAGTTTTAGAGATTACAGGTACTTTTCTTCAACACAGAAAGCTTTATAATCCTTGTAGAAAAAATAAATAAAACCTACATCAGCACTTTTTCTATCATATCTGATTTCAGTCTTCACCTCCACTTCTGTGTGAGCTGTTCCATGATACATGGAATTGTTGGCTATGGGACAAGGTGCATACTGACAGCCCAGTACAAATATAATAAACAGATATCAACCTGGTGGAACAGGACCCACTGTGTTTGGAATAGGGCGAGTTTAGGGGTGCCTGGGTGGCTCATTCAGTTAAGCGTCCAGCTCTTGATTTCAGCTCAGGCCATGATCTCAGGGTTGTGAGATCGAGTCCTGTGTCTGACTCCGCGCTCAGCTAGTAGTCACTTAAGATTCTACCTCTGCCCCTTTCCCCCCTTAAAAAAAAAAGAAAAAGGTGAATTTCTGGTCATCCGAAATTGTTCCTTTTCTGGTTGTTAGATATTTCGGGAGTCGTAAAATTCATAATGTTCTTCAAAAAAAGTTTTCAGGCCTTAAAGGTAGCTTTAAGGGTCAGTGGCTCTTGCTGATACCTTAGAAGCAAGCATTGCCCAGAATACCTCATACCTGGCCATGCAGTATTTCATGCAAGATGGCCTTCACTCTGTTAGATGTGTCTGTCTTTAGGACATGTGACAATGGCCATGTGTGTGAACCCTGTGGACAGTGTCCAGTGAAGCCCAGAACATATTTGATACTCAAGATGACACAGCACATTTCCTGATAGTGCCAACATAATCAGCCCCGTGTTTCTAAGCTTGGGGCATCATTCAAAGTACCTTGGAGTCTCTAAGTGTATTTGGCCTTCTGAGGTATCAAAAAAAGACGTACTCTATTTCACCAAGAAAACTACTCAAAGAAGTTGCCTCAAAATTTAGAGTTTAGTAACCAGTGGGCAATCTAAATAAATGGGAGGCAAATCAGTAACTACCTGGAGTGTATCACTTTTCCCAGGTGCATGTTGCTGAATTTCTTGGTGTATATATTTCCTTGAGGTTCATTTGCAGGCACATATGCATAAAAGATCATTTCTTTTAAGGTGACGTACTGTGGTGCAAGGGCAGTTTCAAAGCCCATATCAGGAGCCTGGAGAAGGAAAAGAACAAAAAACATTGCATTTATACTATTTTATACTTCAATTAGGGCAAAATGCAAATATCAGATTGGTTTCCAGTGCATGTCACAACAGTGCTGCTTTGCTTATCAGTAATATTTCAACATGTTCTGTTCGTATATCCATGTGTGTGCAAGGGATAATGCATTTTTCCATTAAGGAGGCAAAGAAATTCTGGGGAGTAAGGTTCAGTTTTAGGGTTCCTGTGCCCTTGGTAGAAGGCTGGAGTGCAAGGGTGCATGGAAGCGTGTCTTCCATTGTGTAGGAGGGGTTTGGAGGTGCAGATTTTAGAGCTCAGTTCTTACTGGAGTTTTTGTTGTTGTTGTTTTTTAAGGAAGGGGCTGTGACGTATGTCTCCTGACTTGAAAGTGGCTGCCAATTCTCCTTGCCTTGGGATGGTCCCCAAAGTTCCCAAAGCTGGACAGAATCAGGATCAGAGAAGGGTGTGTTGAAAAGATCATCACGAAGGGGATGTTGGGGTTGACCTGGTGGCCATGACATGAGTAGGTGGTAGATAGTGTAGACTGGTTGGGTGCACAGCCATTCAGTGGTGCCTCCAAGACCCATTTTCAGTCATGCCTTGTCCTCTGGGCTCTTGAGAAGAGGAAAGAGTGGGAAACAGAGGCGAGGAGAACTGGCGTGAGACTGAATCGATGTCCTAAGGCTCTTTGAAGAGCCTCTTGAAAAGGCTGAATGTGCTTTAGAATTCCCAATGCCATTCTAGTCTGGGAGTGACAAGAACATCCCACAAAAAGTGTATACAAGTCCAGCAAAAGGCCACACACGGACAAAAGCACAGGCCTTGGGACCTGCTGTCCGGGTAGATGCTTGATCCAATAACTACCCAGTGGTGTGTATAATTTGGGCTAACTTATTTAGCCTTGCTGTGCCTCGTTTCCTCATCAGTAAAATGAAGATAAATAGTTGTTATAAAGATTTAAGAATGCACAACAGCGCCTGGCACATAGAGCCAAATAATGGCTAGTGATCATTTTTATCCAGAGAGGATGCATGCATAGTTAAGTTTTGGGGGTTGGGAGGCGAACTCATCTTGAGGCTAAAAAATCCCAACTGGCTTTTTATTTTAATAATTTAAACTTTCACATAAGAGAACTAAGACGTTTTCTACAAATTGCATAGTGAAAAATGTAGGTTTCTACTTTTTTTGATAACTCCCATCCTCCCGCTCACGTCCTTTGGTTTGTGTCGCCGCAGAGCCCACATAACAGACGGCAAATACACGGCAAGTCACGTGGCCGCACTGGACGGTCACGGGGGAGTCATGTGGCTCCACTGGACGGTCACGGGGGAGTCACGTGGTCTCACTGGATGGTCACGGGGCGGGGGGAGTCACGTGGCCGCACTGGACGGTCACAGGGACGTGCCCGCCTCACTATGCGTTTCTCAGACGAGAGTGAAAACAGGATCTTTTCAACTCTGGTCTTGGCCTGGTTAATTTGGAATGATCTATTAAAACTAGAGCCAGCCTTTATTCTATTTCCTTTAGGACAAAGGGAGGGTTTTAATAAGCCCCAGTTTAAAACAAAAAATCTGATTCTTTGCTGACATACTGAGGAAAGTCCATTTTCGCGACTGTGTGCCCAGTGATGAGTTCTTAGGCAGATATACCTTCACAAGTGGCACGTTATACATTAAAATTATTAGAAAAACCTGTGTGTATTCTCACCTAGGAAGAAGATAATATCTCCTTTCCATATCGGCATTAGAAAAGGAAAAAATGAAGGGGCAGGGTGAATACAAAAGAGGAAGGGTAGGAAGGCAGAGCAAGACGGCAGAGGAGTAGGAGACCTGGATTTCGTCTCCTCTCAGGAATTCAGCTGGATAGGGATCAAACCATTCGGAACACCTACAAACTCAACAGGAGATCGAAGAAAAGAAGAGCAACAACTCTCTCATCAGAAAAGCGACCACTTTCTGGAAGGTAGGACGTGCGGAGAAGTGAATCCGAGGCGATATTCG